ACTCTTTGAGCCGCTGAGAGAAGGACCCCCGGACAACCGCTTTGACCGCTGTGTTTTTCTTCAAACCCATCTCATTGTCGACTCCGACCAGACCTGCTACGGCGGTTATCGTGGGCCACCGGCATTCCTGATCCGAAAGAACTCGACGGGAAGTCTTGGTACCATTCGGCGGAGTTCAATTGAACCCTACGCATAAGTAAGGAAGCGTTCTGATTATGAGATTGGGGTGTTGAGTCAAGCTTGTGGTATTCGAATCAAAGCCTCAGAGTCAACTTCATCAAATTTATTAAGTTCCCCTTTTATTTTTCTTTCTCAAAATCCCACTTCGTTAAATCCCTCAAACAATATAGTTAAACTCCAAACTTGACATAAGGATCTCACCATGACAATCTAAACCATTCAATTTTATTGTTATTCATGAAATAACTTAAAAAACTAGAAATGGATAGTTGTGTTAGTTTGCATCTTTAAAGAGTACCTGATTTTTTCTCTCTCTAGTCTAAGTTTGATACCTTTGCATAACTTATAGAAAACCTGCTCTAAAAAGCTGAGAGAAATGGGAACTTTGGTCTCTTTAAACTTTGGCCCTTTTTTTTTTTTGTTATTCAAGTTATATCACTGTCGTAATTATACTGATATTACCTTTGCATTTCCTTTATATTCTTCTGTTCATCATTTTTCTTTATTAAACTTTCATATAATATTTCAGTACTTTGTCTGTGTAATTTTATGGTTTTTACTACTTGAGAATTCATCCCAATGATATGAGACAGATTTATAGATTCATTAATTACCACAAGTAATATTAGTTTCCTTACTTAACAAGGATGGTGCCCGAGTTATATATATTAGATATTAAAAGTAGATACGCTACACCCTTGTCTCTGTCTTTCAGATCCTTCCCATCTTGTCTCCGCCTTGTGTGTCAGCTCCGCCCTGTTTACCCTCACCTGTGTCTCATTGGTCCCTGATTGTCTGTGTATTTAATCCCTGTGTGTTCTCCCTCCTGTTGCCAGTTCGTTGCGTTCTCTGTGTTCCCTCGTTCCAGCATTATTATTGATATTGATCTTTGTGTATGACCCTCGCTGCCGTTTTGACCGTGCCTTGCCTAGCCCTCTGGATTTGTTTATTATTGCCCTCTCGTGTACCGAACTCTGCCTGGATTAAAGGACTGATTTATAACTCTCCCTCTGAGTCTGCGTTTGCTCCATACCGTGAGTCTTTGTGTCAGCATTAGGAGGGCCGACGTGAGCCCCTATCCCTAAAACCACAATCATATATGTCAAACCTTTGATGTGATCAGCGTTCTATAACCTCAGGTCTAAAGTGAAAGATTTGTCAAACCAGGCAGAGAGAGTCAAACAAAAACACCTCCATGCTCATAGAGTCAAATCAGGGCAAAACTTTCTCTACACCCACAAAGACACTCTTATTTGTGTAGTCAAATTCTGCCACCTGCTGCATATAGTTAGCTGTTACACACATCAAAAATTTCCTCCCTCTCTGCTGTCAACACAAAAAAATAATCACTTTAAGAATTGGTGCTTATATTTAAGATATAATTTCAGCAGAGAAGGATGAAGTAACAGTTATAAGGTAGATTTATATCTTTGGAATATAAAAGGGTGAGGAAAGTTCATTTGTAGAGAACCCCTCATACATAGAGCCAATCAAAGTAATGTAGACTGTTAGAAAAAAACAATTACCAAAATTACATTTAAATATAAAAAAATATTTAAATTTAAATACACTCAAATATCCATTTTCCATTATCCATTATCCATTATCTTCCTCTTATCCGGGCCAGGGTCATGGTGGCAGCAGGCTGCCTCATTTTTTAGCTCCTCGATCCCGAGGCGTTCCAAGGCCAGAAGGGATATGGAATCCCTCCTGTGAATTCTGAGTCTCCTCCCACTTGGCAAGAATGGAAAACCTACAAAGGGAGGCAACCAGGAAGCATCCTAATGAGATGAACCAAACCACCTCAACTGGCTCTTGTCAAACTCAGTTGCGGCTCTACTCCGAGCTGCCCCCAAATGTCTGAGCTCCTCACCCTACCTCTAAGGCTGAGCCCAGCCATCCTCCAGAGGAAGCTCATTTCGGCCGCTTATATCCGCGATCTCAATCCTTCGGTCACTACCCATAGCTCATGACCATAGGTGAGGGTTGGAACGTAGATCGACCGGTAAATCGAGAGCTTTGCCTTCAGGCTCAGCTCCCTCTTCGCCACAACGGTCCGGCACAACGCCTGCATTACTGCTGACGCCGAGCCAATCCGTCTGTCAATCCCACGCTCCATCCTACCCTCACTTGTGAACAAGACCTCAAGATACTTGAACTCCTCCACTTGGGGCAAGGACCTCTAAAGGGAGGTGGATAAGACCAGCAACTCCACCATGAAGGGGTGGATCGTCTGATCCACAGCAAGCCTTGGCCCATGGTTGATGTATGTCTTCTGCATACATTCTGTCTTTGTTAGTGGTGGTTCTGGCTCAGTGGTTGACAAGATCAACTAGCTACTACAACTTCTTCTCACAAATGCTAATTGAATAGCTATATAGGTTGGCACTCTCCTCTGAGGAGAGGTGTGACAGACCAGCAACCGTTTCTTGCAGTGCTGCGTGGTCTGATCCAAAAGGAGTCTCAGCTCCCAGCTCACATAGGGTCTAGGTAAATATTTTATGTGGTAAAACAGAAACCCAGTGGATTACTTTTAGCAAAGCTGCTAAGCTAAAACTACATCAACAGGAGAACCAATCTGATCTAAGTACTCAAACATATTGCTGCGCTATATCCTGGAAGCTGCTAAGCTAAACCAAGCCAAATCACCAGGAGAGCAACTCTGATCTGAGTTTCCAAACTGAGCTCTATCCTGGAATGTAGGTTAAACTAAACAAAGCTAAATCAACAGGAGAGTAAATTTGATATAAGTTTAAAACTGATCGCTGCTCTATATCCTGGAAGCTTAGGTGGGGGGTTCCCATATCAAATCCTCTGGATTGGGGGAACTCACACCTCTCAGACAGCTGGCCATACAACAATTATTTAGATTACCCTCTCATCCGGCCAAATGTCTGACTTGTTGTCTCAAACAACAAAAAGCACCACAATCCTTTAGTAAAATACTTCAGGATCAAAATCTGGATTAATGCAACAAAACATGTTCACTGAGAAAGTCACACTAGCTGCATCATTTTGTCCAATTTTTGTATGGACACAAAGGGGACAACAGTTATTACTTTAACCCTAACCAACAACATACAACACAACTAAGCCACAGCTAGCTGTCTGCTCTGAATAAACAACAAGCAAGAAAAGTTCATCTTCAAAAGAAAATATAATTTTTCCTGAAGAAAAATCTCCTTTAGGATTAAAAATTTGGATTACTGTGCATTAACAGTGCAATAAAGCTGTTTTTTTAAATTGAAGACCTCACATGGGGCACCATTTATGTTGGGGGTTTATACAGTCAACTTTGGTTATATTCTTTAATAATTATATTTAATTATTATTATTAATATAGATAACAATATCATTAAACTATGTTTAATCAACTCGGGAACACCACCCTGAAATCAGGGAAACATAACCAAAATATCACTAAAATCAGTCTCAAATCAGTTACTTAATTACTAATATTATTAATAATTAATAACTATCTTTAATAAATTGATGGCGTGAAATCCGTACACAAAGCCCTCGCACCCAGCTTATATCACATGCAAATACACCAGTAATCACAAACAACTGCTCTCTTAAATTATAACAGAATTTATTTAAACAAAGCAACATCAATCCAAAATCAATGAACTTAATCAAACAAGTAACTATTACAAACTAATCTAAGCAAACAAAAATTATCACACGTGACCAAAATGGTGGACAACAAAGGAAGCCGTGTGGCTGCCTTTTGAAATAGTTGAGCTCTCTGAGCTGAGTTCAGTAACTGTTACTTAAACACCAGAAAGCCAGTGGCCGGACTTTGATTCAACGGCGGGTACTCTGGTCTTTCTGATTGTGGAAGCCGTTGACTGAAGGTAAACTAGCATAGCATTACACACATAGGCGAACACAGCGGTTCATCACAATAAAACAAATGCACTATTTCTACTAAACTATTTCTGCCCAGACCAAAGCTCTTACTTGGAGTAACTCCTGGTGATCATTGCAAAGTTGGTTGGATCGTCACTCTGTTGAATATTAAATCAACAGATTCAGGCAGGTTTCCTTCATGGCAGAAGTAAGAGGAGGGTAGCGGGATTCAGATCTTCGACCAGAGCCCTGCTCTAGGGTCTTCTGGTTGCAGGAGCCGAGTTCTTTATGTGTCCTTGTGGATTCAGGGATCAGTGGGCTTTCTTCAGCGCTCCTGTCCAGTTGCGTTCAATGACGTCCTTTGAAAAATCCCTTCTTTTTGCTCAAACCTGATAGCATCTGATTACGCCGAAAACCCCTAAAAATGTGCCGTAGAAGTAGTCAGCTGAATCCTCTGATGCTTGAAGTCAGCATGTGAAGAGCTACCTAGACTGAACAGCCTCAGCTCTGGAGTTTAACCTACACTGTAAACCCGGATGAGTTGAATTTACTTCAAAAATTTGAGGAAACCGGTTGCCCTAAAAAATGTAAGTAATGTATAATGAAAACTTGAGTGAATTTAACTTAGGTTTTTAAGTACAACAAACTAAATGCCAAGTTGATTTAACTTAAAATCTTTTACAGTGTCAATTGCTTTGCATAATTATTACACTTATTATGTTAAGCCCATTGCACTAAATTACAAGTTGATTTAACTTAAAAGCTTTTACAGTGTCAATTGCTTTGCATAATTATTACACTTATTATGTTAAGCCCATTGCACTAAATTACAAGTTGATTTAACTTAAAATCTTTTGTAATATTAAATTAAGTCCTCTTAATATTTTTAAAATGTGTACAATTTTAAATTCTGTTTTTAATTTGTTGCAGTAGAACATTTTAATTAACAATAAAAGCAAATAACAAAATTACATTCTTATTCTGTTTTATTTCAGAAGTTTTAACTTCAAACAACAACATGAGAAGTCAAGGAAAATAATGCCTTGCTTTACAAATCTCTGCAAGTTTTTAGGTTTTCAACCTTTCTCTTTATGACAGTTACCGGTATTTACAAAAACTCTTAAAAACCATACCCTGCGTTCACAATACTAACAGCATGGGATTACTTTACGTAATACTAGGACTGAGTAAAAATAGAATCTTGTTATTAATCAACCTCTTTTCATGATATCTCTGCCAATGCCATCCAGCATAAAGTGCAAACAGTGCACAGACATGTTGAAATGCAAAAATAAAAATGCACCTGATATCTGGAACTGTAGCATAACTACTTGGAACCCCGTTTTACAGTACAAGCTGATTTTTCAGAGTCTGAATTTTGGTTGCCAGCTCACTTTTACCCAGGTTGAGCATCACCTGCTGGACAAAAAGAAGGTGTTTTTCATGTACTTGGGATAGTCCAGGTGCAGGGCATAAATCAGTCCAAAAAGGACACAGAAGGCCTGAGGAATGTTAGCCAGCTCATCCATCAACACACGATGGGTTCAGCTGAGGATTTTCTTCATCAATGCAAAGGATTCCCACTGGAGTTTGACTGTATGAGTCCTTGTCAGTTGCGTCCTAAAAGAGAGAGAAACAGATTTAAAATTACCTTCAGATGTTAAGAATGAAAAGCCTCATCAAAAATAAACCGTACACTGAAAGTAATTATTGAAAGTAGAGGTCTTAATCGGCGTTGGTAGGACATTTTACAACCTCACGGCAGCAGCAGAATCTGGCTCCAATAGTGGCCAATGGCGGCTTTTTTCTCCCTCAAACTATCAGAATTATATCGGCCTTTAAAAATCCAGTGTCGGTCGACCTCTAATTGAAAGGACAATAACATTGTTCTTAAATGAACTGCAATATTTGGATCTGTGCTTACAAGTACTTATTGCAAAAGGAGAGTTTACCCACTGTTCCAGCCCATTTGTTTAACGTGGAGTACACTTTTGATAAAGATGGTGCACTAGTTAAAGTCTGTGACATATTCTACAGATATAGACATTAAAACTGTAGTGGCATGCTGTTATGTTGATTGGACTGTCCACAGATTGCTTTCAGGTATATTTTTGCAAATAAAATAGGAGAAACTCAAAATCCGTAGACAATGGTCCTCTGCAGCCTGGCATGAGCCGCTGCTCGTGTCAGCTGTATGGCTGTAATAGCAAGGCACACTACGACCTGGCCACAAGTGCTTCCTTTTTATTTGTACAGCCAAAGTAAAATATTTAACATTAATTGAGCCTATTTTTAAAATATGTTTATAGTCTTTTCAGTTTATGTCATGCCATTAACCAATAATGCAGATATTGAGATTGTTTAGTAAAATTTGTCTAGCCAAAAGAAAGAAGTACAAGTATTTGAAACACTGAAAAAGTTAGTAGCATATTATTTTAATTAAAGGTTCAAAATTAAAATGGAAAAAGAAAATGCAGCTGAAACATTTAAATCAAATTAATTTACTTACGAAGCATGTCTTGAAGAAGGCGGAAGGATCATCTCCCAAGATGACCGGCAGTCCCCGAAGACAAAGGCACCTGATGTCTGTTGGCTCCATGGTCTGGAAGATAGTGGGCATAGAAAACAACACACAGTTCTTATCAAACAAATTCCAAAACTTTCCAACAAGTAATGACAAAAATGTCTAATTTTCAAGACTGGAAAGTACAAGACAAAATGGCATGAAAGGAAAGGAGAGAGGACAGGAGAAAAGATGAGAGTATGAGACAAGACACAAGCTGAGAGAGGAGCAAATGATGAGAGTAGAGAATGTGAGAGAACAATTGCATTCAGGACAGAGACTGAGAAACTGAGAGAAAGAAACGATAAAGGCAAAGGGGAGAAACTTAGATTGTGGGAAGACAGGGAGAAGACTGATGTAGACAACGCAACTCACCTTTGTCTGATGTAAAAGTCATCTTTCGTATGTCTCCCTCACAGACAGTAACCCTCATGGTTAATTTCTGTTGCACGGCCACCTGGGGAAAAAGGATGGACAGGTATTTAGCAAATAACAAATCTTCTCAGTGTCACCATAGGTTCTCCTTGTACCCTGTACACTGATAACGGGAGGACATCATTTAACTCTGACAGCTTGACCACACACATACAGGTGACATCATTACAGTGAAGTTGGTAAGATCTTAAGTACTTACAGAACCATGCTGTCATTTTGTGGCAGACAAACAGAATTTCTGCATTAGCTGCAACAATCTTTTCAATCTGGGCAAATTCAGGGAGGCCTGAGCATGAGCCAGCAGTTAGCCAGCTGCATGAGATTAACATTAAATAGCCATATAGTCTTTCAGTTTATTTAAAGAGCCAATATTATGCCCTTTTTGGGGTTTGTATATTTAATCTATGTACCTACTTTTGTACGTTCAAGTCCGAAAAAAGTGTCTGTTTTCATGTACTGCTCCTCCTTGCTCCCTCTCCGCTCTGTGTCCGTCAGCTGCACTCTGTTGAGCCCACACTGTTAGACCCCACGTGGGCCAAGTCTGCTCTGATTGGTCTGCCGATCCGATGAGCTGCTGGGCTTGCCACAACAAGCCAATGGGCTTAGATCAGTGATATCACACTGACAATGACGTCGGACTGACACATTTTTATTGAGGGAGGCTAGAACCGAGCATTACATGCAGCTAATGCTACAGCTAACAGGAGGAGGAAGGAGAAGCCGCATTTCCGCGGACTTTGAATTTTATGCACATAGATGTGCCTAAACATGCACAGGACACTTGGGAAACACACTAAAGGGCATATAAAACCAGAAAAAGCATAATACGGGACCTTTAACCTTAACTGCGCCTATTTAAATCAATGGCCGTCTCAAAATACAACGTGTTCACTAAAGTTAACTTAACAGCACTCACCAGATTCATTAGACCACTGTACAACAGCCGGGCCATCGCCACCTTCTCTCTTCCGCTGGAATAGTACTGTGAAGCCTGCCTCGTATCCTTCTGTGTCGCCGGTACCCTCAGCTGTTCAATGTGAAGCGGTGTCCGCCACACAACAGTAACAAAAGCAGGACAGTTAGTTAACAGGTAGCTAGCAGGGGAATGATGTCCCGTTTTCACTGCTCACAAACAGCCACCCGGGTACGAAAAGTGGCGAGGTACAGCTAACAGTTAGCCTAGATAAGAGCTGAAAAATGTCTGGCAAACTGGTGAACGTTTAAACAGTTTCAATTTCTCCCAAACAGCCTCTCCTACAATGAGAAAAGTAACACTAGCTAACACTAGCTAAAAGGTAGCTAGCAGGTGAAAATGTCTATGTTAACTGTGAAAACAAGGTTTCCACTGCTGTCAGAGTTAAAACACACCTCACTCCTCACCAACAGCCCCTCAAATTGACACACTCATAATAATAAAGAAAAAACAGTGTTACCTGACTTAACGGTCCGGAGGACGAAGATGCAGCAAAGATGCCTGTTACCTGCAACCTAAAATTTCAAATGGCGCTCCTTCACAATGCAAAGGACATGAAAAGGCGTGGTTATGACTAAAACTTAGTATTTTAAGGCCATTTAACTTAAAGTTATTCACACATTCGTCTATGTCTAAAAATTAGTAGAACAAACTTAGCATTTTATATCGTTTAATTAGATATAAAGTCCGGTCTTACAGTGTATGTAAGCCAAGAGGAGGAAAGGGTTTGTCTCCTCGAATGCTGGAGTCCATCTTGTTGGAGGGGGCATCCTCTAGTGTCGGCAGACCACACTTGAAGAGGGTGGGCAATGCGTTTGCTTTTAAAGACTGGAACTGCCTGTGAGTATACCTCAGGCCTCCTCCAATGAGGATAGAGAATTTAGACACCAACCACTTTTCACACCTACTTGTTAGTTGCTGTTGGGGGGGGGGGTCTGGGTTAAGACTCCTTTGTATAGTTTCCTCCAAAATAACTCTTATTAGGCTTGAAAAACTGCGATACAGGCTTGAGTCCTTTGGCTGAGGCCCAACAGCTCTATAAATAAACTTGCCTTGGCTCCCTCTCTGTCTCCCTGGTGCCATAAAAAAATCATTATTTGATGTCCTGATCTCTGTGTTTACACTGGGACTACTGAAATGGCCCTTTGGACACTTTAAACTTTTCAGTGTGATAGCATGTGGACGAAAAGCTCTGACCTGCCCGTTGCTTCCCTTTCCAGCAAGTGTTGGATTAAAACACGTAAATAATGAGTCACAAAGTAAAAACTTCTGGACTGCCACAAAAACAGTAATTTTAATGTGTGGTATGTAAATTCAGCCACCAGGGGGCTCTAAATCAAAAACATACCCCCCCCCACCCCCACCCCGATGACGACCGGGCGAATCCGACCTAAGGAAGATAATATGTTTATCAACGAGCTAATGTATCCGAGTACAATTTACACGAGTCTTCAGGGACTGTTGAGTCAAAGGCAGCCATTGATAAGTGTGTTTTCAGTTTAGAGCCCGGCAGCTGGAACACGTTGCTGCTCCAGCCTCCAGCTGTCACGAGTCAGCTGATAAGGCAACATGTCCCTGTCCCAGGCAGACTTTGACTCTCATGGTCTTTTTGTCTTTCACAGATGAGGTGACCGTCTGAGCCATGAAACAGGTCAGTAACATTGGTTTAAAGTATGGTTGGTAGTGTTTTCAATATGCTGAATCATGTTTCCTTTACAAAGTAAGATAACTGGAGGATATGATATCTTTGTGAAGCAAAGAACAGATGTTTTTAATGCAGAACCCTAAAAACAGATACAAACATGAGCTGGTTTATTTATTAGATAAGAGCTAAAGACTACATGTTTAAAGACACCTGTGTTGCATATTACACATGTGTAATTATGATGTGTGATTATTTCAGTCTTTAAAACCCCACAATGTGTCGCATGGAGGAAAGATTCTCCTTTAAACGACGGCTCGGCTCCTTCAGTGCTTTTCTCCATCACAGCGTTGTCATCCTTCTGCTGAGACAATGCTGCTGTGCAGGTAATAAACACACACCAGAAAGTCACTTAAACAGGTAACCCTCTTCACAACCCAAGTCCCTACAGACTGAGATCCTGCCCCCGAAGAGAATACGAAGGAAATGGAGTGATTCTGTCCAAAGATTACAAATCCCACCTTACACCTCCAATTACACAGAATGAAAAAAAAACCTTTAATCTACAGTTGTACTATGTTTCATTTGTACTCCATAAACCGGTTGCTGCGTTAAAAGCGGGGTAACTTTGAGTAGTCAGAAAACTTTACATGCTCAATTCCAAGCTAAACTATTTCTAGCAACATGGACTCATTGAATCCAAGCGTTCAATGAATCCAAAGCCCACAGAAAGCAATCTGTGGCTTTTTATCGTCTACATCTGTAGTTCAGCTTTCCTAACCCTTCATCCGATTAACTTCACACCTGCTGAGGTATCTCGAGTGGTTAATGTAACATTTGGCTTGGATGACTTCCAGTTTGAAATGGGCGCTACACCTGTATTTCTAAATCACTCTTCACACTAAGCAACTTTAAGACATTCATAAGGCAGCCTAGGACTCCATTATACTTTTTAGGTAGCTGTCCAATACGAAGTGTAGAACATTGTGCCAATGTATTTTCTGAATGTGCTCCTACCAGCAGAATGTAAAATCCCAACCTGCTTTCACCAGGTCACTCCCAAGTGGTTGCTCCATCTTTGCCAATAGTAGCAATGGTTGGGGATGACATCATTTTGCCATGCCGCCTGGACCCCCCTGTGGATACTTCAGACATGACTGTGGAGTGGGTGAGACTTGATCTGGACCCCAGATTTGTTTATGTTTGGCATGACGGCGTGGAACTGGAGAGTAAAAAACAGGTTTCCTTCAGGTGAAGGACGTCACTGTCCATACACAACCTGAGAAATGGAGACGTGTCACTGAAGCTCTCTGGAGTGAAGCTCTCTGATGAGGGAAACTACAGATGCTTCATCCCTACACTTGCTAAAGAAACTACCGTCAAGCTTGTTGTTGGTGAGTGAATATCTGGAATCTTTAAGTTTTGCCCTTTCTTTGTGAGCTCAGACCAGTATATATTTCTGTGTTCATGTTTGTATCTTGTTCAAATGTAAAAAAAAAAAAATTGAGTTAGAGAACCTTATGAATGAATAAAGACTGGCCCAGAAGAGTACCATTAATAATGACATGGTTCTTTCATAAATGTGAGGAGGCTTTTACAACATAAGTCCAAGCTGCTGCAGAGCTCATCAAAGGGAAAGAAGCTCAGTGATATATTGAGATACTTCGAGATGGGTCAAAGGTTAAAGGCTTTATATGCGATTTTTTGATCCAGCAGATGTCGCCCTTGAGCACCAGCATGAAACCAAAACAACTTGCGGTGCATTGTGGGTTAGCATGCCAATGCTAGCGATCTTTATTATGCTCGATCTAGAAACGCAGTTAAGCAGTGAGTACAGTATGTTATTCTTCTTTTCTCTAGTCCGTCAATTAAACAACTTTTATTCACGAGAGAATATACTTGATTTCTATTATATTTAAGTGTGAAAAATCGCATATAAAGCCTTTAAAGAGTTAAGCTTTTGAACTTGAAGTTTACATATTATTATAATTAATAGGTTAAGGAAGAATTCAAGATCAGTTTTAAGGTTTCTTTGGCATTAAGATGTTAACGTTCAATCCTGTGTAGAAGATGCACTTACAGTACCTTTGCTGCACAAAGCATGCTGGGATACATAGCGACATGTACGGGATGTAACGGCGCCACTTTTTACCATCTTTCCTCCATCATGAGGTCATCACGGTACATTTGAATAAGATGGTGGTATACTGTAAGTAAAGCTGTTTTGATTTTAACAAAAACTCCCCATGGTGGACTCAAATGGTACTCAAAGAGCTACAAATAAGATTCTAAACATGATCTCTTTTTTCTTCCTCTTTGATTTCAGATGTAGTTTCATTCATAACCATCAGTTTAGAAAGGACTGACAAACAGGAAGTGAACTGAGAATGAATCTTCAGTGTGAGTCTGAAGGCTGGTATCCAGAGCTTGAGGTGTTGTGGCTGGACAGTGAGGGAAACCTCCTCTCTGCTGGATCTACAGAGAGCGTCAGAGGTCCTGATGGTCTCTATACTGTCAGCAGCAGAGTGACTGTGGAGAGGAGACACAACAACATGTTCACCTGTAGAGTCACACAGAACAACATCAACCAGACCAGAGAGACACACATACATGTTCCAGGTTGGCATATTTGTAAAAAGTCAGGTTTTCTTGTTATTATATATTTCTATTTTCCAAGTATAACCTTGATCCTCTGTTTTTCAGATGACATGTTCATGGTGGGCTGCCGGTCTGGGCCTCATATCACCATCTTTTCTGCTGTCGGTTTATCCTTTATCGTTGCACTTTTCTTGGTCGTGTTGAAGTGTAGACAAAACAAAATAAGTATGTCCAGGTTTCAGTGTTCCTTTATCTCAATGCATTTATTACCATTACACTGCTTAAGATCAGTTTTTCTGATCATGGAGGAATGTGCTATCACAACATCTGTTGAAATATGATCATCTTTTTCATGTCATCATAACGGAGGGTAAAAAGGTGACAGGTATCACAGAGAGAAAGACTGAATCCTGTCAGGAGTTGGAGAGAAAAGCAGCAGAAGATGTGATCAAAACCCTGACTGAACAGAAGAAAAACTTATCGTAAAAGAAAAACTGCTGGAGGAGGTGGAGAGAGAGGAGACAGAGAACAAGAAGAAACTGACTTCTGCTTCAATAGTTCTCAATGTCTTCAAAAATGAAGTAAAGACTGTACTACAAGAGCACAATGAAGAACTGAGGAGGATCAAAACAGGACTTCAGGGATACAGCTGTAGTACAGATGTGTACATAAAGTACATATGTGTGCATAAATTACAGATGTAGTACAGATGTGTGCATAAAGTAAAGATGTGTGCATAAAGTACAGATGTAGTACAGATGTGTGCACGAGTACAGATGTGTGCATAAAGTACTGATGTGTGCATAAAGTACAGATGTGTGCATAAAGTACTGATGTGTGCATAAAGTACTGATGTGTACATAAAGTACAGATGTGTGCATAAAGTACAGATGTGTGCATAAAGTACAGATGTGTTCATAAAGTACAGATGTAATACAGATGTGTGCAGTACAGAGTGCAGATGTGTGCATAAAGTACAGATGTGTGCATAAAGTACAGATGTGTGCATAAAGTACAGATGTGTACATAAAGTACAGATGTGTGCATAAAGTACAGATGTGTACATAAAGTACTTATGTGTGCATAAAGTACTGATGTGTGCATAAAGTACAGATGTGTGCATAAAGTACTGATGTGTGCATAAAGTACTGATGTGTGCATAAAGTACTGATGTGTACATAAAGTACTGATGTGTGCATAAAGTACTGATGTGTACATAAAGTACAGATGTGTGCATAAAGTACATATGTAGCACAAAGTGCATAAAGTACACGGCTTATACATGGCAATGTAAAAGCTGCTTCTAAGGCAACCAGGAAGTCACTAATATGTGCATCAGACCACAATACATCTGCTTCCATCATACAGACAACAACTGCAAACTGGAAAACCAAAATCAAGATCTAAGTGTGGGATGACGACGGTATACATGCTTTGTTCTACTGGGAAGTGTTTAAATGTTCAGATGATAGAGTACATACTAATGTAGTAACATCTTACATAACGGTGTAGATAATGTGTAACCCTGGGTTACTCCTGAGATAAAGGAAAAAGCTTTGAATTAAAAAAGAACAACCCTTTGAAACAACAGACGTGAAGGTAAACAAATACAGAGAAATGTAAATTAACCGAACAAAAAGAGACTACAGCTAAAGTTGACTGACAATAAAGGAAGGGAGGCTCTCAACCAGTGACGTGCGGTGAGGTTCGTGGCTGGTGAGGCACTGACTTTTTCAGAGTCAGATTTACAAATATATGAACCCATTTATAGAGTAGCTTAAACTCACCATTCAACTGGCAGCTTGCACATTCTGGTTGTGTTTCATATCTCATATCAGCATTATTCACACACACACACACACACACACACACACACACACACACATAAAAGTAGGCATATACTGCGGTGTATTCATGGTCTTACCTTTACTTGTAAATGAAGTCCATTCACCTATCCTTCTGGACTAAAATATCTGTGACTTTGTTGTAAAAGTCCTCATTATCTTCTTTTAGTTTGAAAAGTCTTCCATTATTTATCACTTCATGTTTTGATTGAAAGTTCAGTTTTGAGAAATCTTTAAGCTCAGATATAAAATCTTCCTCTTCTATTTTTGCAATCAGAGCGAAATTTTCAAATAAAAATTCTGCATAGTAGAGGATCAACATCAAACCAAACATAAACTCTTGGCCTTATGAGCCTCACGCAATGTGACACACGCCCCCTTCAGGTGAGCAGAGGTACTGGCTTACCTCATGCTTTTTCAGTGCGGTTTTATGTCAAATTAGACTAAATATGTTATAAACACACATGAAACACATGAATTATTCTATGGAAAGTGAGGACGTATAATAAAAGTGTCTACAAACATTACATTGGTGACAAACTGTAAGAAAGAAAAAGACATCCACTCGACCCAGTTTGTGAGGGATTGAACAATAAAATGAGGCTCAGCTCGTCACTGCCTCACCTCCCATGAAATATGCAAATTCAGCGATTTTGGAAATACCATTTATAACATAGATCAGTAGAAAAGATATATATTTATTTTATTTAATCATTATTGTTTTTTACTCTTGATGAGAGCCTCGCCTGCCTCCCCTGACGTCTCTGCTCTCAACAGACAGACCAGAGGCAGCAGTTTGTCTACATCCATGGACAAGTCATCAGTAATCAGCACTTACACTGGGGTACCACAAGGGGGCATCCTCTCACCTTTGTTGTTCACTTTGTATTCCAATGACTAGAAGTCATCACAATGACTTCACATGAACTACATTTGCAGATGATGTTGATCTGTTAGTTTCTTTAAACAACAATGAGACCAGTTTCAGAGCTGAGAGAAATCACTTTGGGATAACTCGTTGATTTTAAACACAAAGATAAATAAAGACATGATTATTGAATTTAGGAGACATTCATCTTTGGTTATGAATGACACAGACATTAACCAGGAGTTTAGAGCATGAGTATCTGGGCGCCATTATTGAAGTCAGACTGACACGGACGCCAACACAAACGCAAAATTAGCAAACGATCAACGTCTTTATCTCTTAAGGAAACGGAGAAGTTTGAATGTTGGCAGCACAGAGCTGAAGTTATGTTACTAAAGTTGAATTCACTCATTAATTTATTATTTCATTCATTTGTTCACTCAGGTCACTAAAAGGAGGCAGATCCACCGTCTCGCTTGGAGAAAGCTTTGAGTAACTGATCTGATCCGTACCAGCAGCCTGGGTTTACTTTGTTTCATAATAAAATCAATAATTAACTGTTTATGTTTACTGATTAATAAATTGATTAACTGTTTATGTTTACTGATTAATACATTAATTAACTGTTATGTTTACTGATTAATAAATTAATTAATTAACTGTTTATGTTTACTGATTAATAAATTGATTAACTGTTATATTTACTAATTAATAAATTAATTAATTAACTGTTTATGTTTACTGATTAATAAATTAATTAACTGTTTATGTTTACTGATTAATAAATTAATTAACTGTTTATGTTTACTGATTGATTAATACATCAGTTAACTGTTATTTATTTAAATCTTTTTCACAGACTCTTTTGTTGACGTTTGACTCCCTGAAAACGAGTCTTGACCTTCGGGATCGTCACACTGGTGGAAATAAACGAGCAGATGTGAAGAGGAACATGAAAAAGAGTTCAGAGGTTTGAACTTCAGTCAGGTGATTCTTTATGAAAGCTTTGTCTTTGTTCGTGTGATGCTGACTTTATTTCCTGCTCTGTGTTTTATTTTCAGACGACATCTTTCATTGTCTTGGTTCTCTCTTTCTTCATCTTCTCTGTGGGAAACAGTTTAATAGTCATATTAGTTCATTTATAGACCGGCCTCACTGATATAAGCAGGGGACCACAGAGCGTCTGCAGCATCCTCAAATATGAGCCATGAGGTTAAACTGTCACGCTCTGACAAACCACGGCGTCCTGACCAGATACAAAGCCCCCTGCTAATAATAAGACTTCATGAACTATTAAGATGACAAGACATGTTGATAGGACAGCACGCCTTTCTAACACTTTGCATCGAAGGTTTCACAGCGTGCATTTCATGAGATTGTGATGTGCAGCAAAGGACAAAGAAAAGAGTCCCACGTGTCTCCTAAGGTGTCTTCTACAAACGTCTCAATCCCTTCATCATCAGGACGTCGACCATCCTCGTAGTGGTCAAATAATAACCAGAGTCAATAATCAGAGTAACCCTGATCATGACCTTAAACTGACCTCAGGGTAACCCTGATCATGACCTTAAACTGACCTAAGGGAAACCCTGATCATGACCTTAAACTGACCTCAGGGTAACCCTAAACCTGACCTTAAACTGACCTAAGGGAAACCCTGATCATGACCTTAAACTGACCTCAGGGAAACCCTGATCATGACCTTAAACTGACCTCAGGGTAACACTGATCATGACCTTAAACTGACCTCAGGGTAACCCTAAACCTGACCTTCACCTGGGCTTTAGGGTCACCCCAACCCGGACCCTCTCATCACTGTTGAGGAAATGATTTAAACTTGAATTTACACAATAATGATTCAGTTGACTCAGATGGCTTAAGTTGAAGAAAGTTTATATATAAGATGAATACTCATGAGGAGACTTGGATCAACAATTCACATGTAAACTTGTGTGTTGCTAAACCAAAATCAAGACTCTCCCAACGGCTTTGCCTATATCAAGAGATATTATTATTATCAGGGTCATGTCACATTGACCCACCTAAACTAATCTGTGACGTCAATTACACTTTGGATCAGACAATAAGTCTACCAGACATCCTTGCAGATATGAGGAAAGACAGTTGACACTCTCTAAGCTGTCCTACAGCTGAACTCTATCAGGTGTGACTGACATTAGGAACAGACCAAACCAAATGATGTTTGTTCATTTAAATCAAAATCGTTCAGAAATTCTATCACAATCACATCTGTGTTCATTACAATCAGGTATAATAATACTATTATTATTAATAATAATAATAATAATAATAATAATAATTAAAAATAATAATAATAATAATACTTTATTTGTAGAGCACTTTTCAAGACGGTAGAACAAAATGCTTTACAGAAAATGTTTTTAAAAAAATATCACAAGAAAAATAAACAGCAAAAATTCAGTTAAAACAAAAGACACCTGAAAGTAAAAACATTAAAACAGGAGAGTTCAAATATGCATGCCGGAGCTCTGATCGAATGATCTCTCTTATCTCAGTAACAGTCTGTAAAAATGAGTCTTAGGGATTTAAAAGCAGACACAGAGTCAGCTGAAAGGATGGAAAGTGGAAGACTGTTTCAGATCCGAGGTGCCATAACTGAAAAAGCCAGATCGCCCTTTGACCTCCACCATTACTCGAGTACGGTGAGCAGGCCTAAGGCAGCCGATCTCAGAGGTCTGCTTGGGCAGTAAGGGGTTAAAAGCTCATTTAAATATTTGGATGCAAGGCCATGTAGGGCTTTGTAAGATGTCAGTAACATTTTAAAATTAATTCTAAAAGAGATTGATGAACAGTGCAGTGAAGCTAAAACAGGCGTGATGTGAGAGGTGCGCTCTGTGTTTGTCAGAAGACCGGCTGCAAAGTTCTGTACAGTCTGACAGTGTGTTACGGCCGTGTACTAACGCAGGTAATCCAGCCGAGAGGAAATAAAAGCATGAATAATTAGTTCTGTATTGTGAAAAGATAAAAGTGACTTGATTCTTGATCATGTTCCAAAGTTGATTAAAACAGGATTGAACCCGTTTCTTGTTGTTTAGATCCAAACTTAAGTCGGTATCAAATATAACTCCCAAGTTTCTGAAATGGCTTTTAACATTAGGGATTAGTGGGCTGAGTAGTGGGCTGAATCTGGTTCAGAATATTATCAGGGACAATGAGAAACACTTTTGACATCATGACTTCTTGACATCAGCTAAACAGCTTTGAAGTGTGGCCAGTTTATTCCAATCTCTGGTTTTGGTGGAGAGATATAATTGGGTGTCATCAGCAGGACTATGAAATGAATAATGTGATGATGGATGATGTGCCCCAATGGGAGCATGCACAAGGAAAACAGAAGTGGTCCAAGAATTGATCCTTGGGGTACACCGCACAATGGAAGCACATTTGAAGCACAAATCTGGGATTCATCAATATATTCTTACTTGAATTTGTTCTTACTCTGCGAACAAAAATACTAACTAACTAAATGCATGACATTAAAAATACATTCAGTAAAAAAATAAAATAAAGGCTATATAAATAAATATATTTTAAAAAAATGTTGAAAATACAAGCATTAAAAACGTGAATTAACTAATGCATTGACTAAATGCATTAAATAATCATGAAACATTCGCCTTATCATCCTTTAATCTAAAATCTTAAATCTAATCGTCGACCACTCCCACCGCCATGAAAAATCACATCTGATATCAAAACCAGCTGATTAATCTGAGAATATTTAAGAGCATGCAGGGAACATACATGATTATGATTTACGTATAAGAAAGTGTGAAGATCCAGCCTTATACAAATACAAATAGCAGCCCATGCCTCCAGAAGAGAGCGCATCAGACTGTCAAAATGTTTGAAGAGTGTGACGGATGACTGATCAGCTGACTCCGACTGCCAATGCATGTTCTGCTGCAGTTCTGTAATTCACTGTAACATCATCTAAGCACCCAGACATACCAATCTTTTTTGCCTTTTTGGGGTCATCTCCTAAAAACTTCTACGTGTCTCCACCTCACCGCTCTCGTCCTGATACACCAATCGGATGTCCTTATATGGAGAGATTGGGGCGTGGTAGTATGCTAAATGCAGGCTGGGGGCACGCGCCTGATGATTTAAAATGATTCTGATTCACTAACATACGCAAGTTCGTGAGAACAAAATTGGCTGGTACGCACGTCATTCATACGGGGTTTGTCGAGTCTCCTTCAGTCGGTTTCCTGAAACACATAAAGAAATAAAGCTGTGAACAAATATCATTATATATTAAACATTTATAATAAAAAAACAATATATATAGGAACATATTAAAACATGCATAATGCAAATATAATTATACTGTATATTGTTAATGATAATATAAAAAAATAACATGAATAATATTCTCATACCTGTCGCTCTGGTCGTGGTGAGACTGAAGCATACACTACTTCGTTTGTTTCCGGTTTGTTGACCTCTCCTTTAATATTTAATAAAAAACGGAACGTTAGAAATTTTAAATTACTACAAATAAAGAATAAAAACAATCTGAAAATTATTCAAACTAAGACTTGAAATAATAGATATATAGTTTAACCATTAAAGATCAATTCAACATTGTGAGAGTTGCATTAAAATAATAAAAACGTATTTACACATCCTTTTAGCTTCTTTCATTATTACATATATAAAACATCATAACTTATAATATACCTCTCACTGTCTTCTTATTTGTGACAGAGATGACAGAGTACATCACGTCGTTCATGGTCGACTCAGGACGCTCTGGAAAAAGACCAAATAAAAACAGCAAGAACCAGAACCAATCAGAATCAAGAACAGCTTCAATCTATATCAGTCTATAAATGTCTACAAGTATCTGTTGAATCAATGAAATATTAAAGACTTAATAAATCTTTATAATAATAGACATATAATTACCTCTTCTTCTTCTCAGGTGTTTTATGTCTTTAGTGTAAATGTCTGGTTGTGCTTCGGCTTCAGCGACATGTTCATACACTGAAACAAATAAAATAATATTCATAAATGTTTGAAATCCTTAAAAAGTGTTAAAATGAGATTTAACTTAAAAATGTCATTATGGCGGGGGGCTAATAGGTGTAGTCACTAATAGCAGGAGTCACTATAGGGGGAGTCACTAAAGGGGTAGTCACTAACCGGATGAGTCATTAATACGGGGAATCACTAATAGGGGGAGTCACTAATATGGGGAGTCACTAATAGGGGGAGTCACTAATAGGGGGAGTCACTAATATGGTGAGTCACTAATAGGGGGAGTCACTAATAGGGGGAGTCACTAATAGAGGGAGTCACTAATAAGGGGAGTCACTAATAGGGGGAGTCACTAATAGAGGGAGTCACTAACAAGGGGAGTCACTAATAGGGGGAGTCACTAATAGAGGGAGTCACTAATAAGGGGAGTCACTAATAGGGAGAGTCATTAATATGGGGAGTCACTAATATGGTGAATCACTAATAGGGGGAGTCACTAATAGAGGGAGTCACTAATAAGGGGAGTGAATAATAGGGGGAGTCACTAATAGGGGGAGTTACTAATATGGGGAGTCACTAATAGAGGGAGTCACTAATAAGGGGAGTCACTAATAGGGGGAGTCACTAATATGGGGAGTCACTAATAGGGGGAGTTACTAATATTGGGAGTCACTAATAGAGGGAATCACTTATAAGGGGAGTCACTAATATGGGGAGTTACTAATAGAGGGAGTCACTAATAAGGGGAGTCACTAATAGAGGGAGTCACTAATAAGGGGAGTCACTAATAAGGGGAGTCACTAATAGGGGGAGTCACTAATAGGGGGAGTTACTAATAGGGGTAGTTACTAATAGAGGGAGTCACTAATAAGGGGAGTCACTAATAGAGAGAGTCACTAATAAGGGGAGTCACTAATAAGGGGAGTCACTAATAGGGGGAGTTACTAATAGGGGTAGTCAATATTAGAGGGAAGACGTTGGTAATGGCTGCGCTCTAGTCTAGCTCCAAACCCCAAAATTCCAACAAAAAAATTCCAAAAAAAACAAACTTGCCAGAGATAGCTACTGGTTGACTCCCTGGTTGAAGTTATACTCAATCAAATTTCACTCATATTATAGAGTATTAAACAAAACGATGAGTCAGGTGAAACAAAGTGTGCAGACTCGCTTGAAAACCACCTCCATCATGGAGCCCAACCAGCTAGCCCTGAAGCTAGCCAGAAAGCTAACATTGAGGACCTCTTTGTAGAGATGACCAAAATGGGCACCACCTTGAACGGAGTGAGAACTGACTGAACTGTTTCTATAAATATGTATATATGAACTCTGTTGCATTACTATCTGATGCTCACCTGGGTCATTTGATGCTGTTGGTGGCATGTTGTCGGAAAAACCTGAAACTTTAAAGCTGAGAAGATTAGAGATGGCATCAATAGAAAAACACCAGCATAAGTCCATGCTGCTTTTTGTTTTTAGTGCACACCTTTTGCACGTTATATGTATTTATATTTTATGTCCGGTACGATTTCTGTTTTTTTAGTACCTCTGTGTTTCCGACAGTGAAGAAGTCCCAGCACCAACAGCAGCACTGCTACAAACAAGATGGTGGAGATAACGGGTAACAGTGTGGAGAGATGAAGAGACCCTGGAGGGGGAGAGGATGCTGGACCCTCTTCAGGTGTTGGGTCTTCTTCAGGTGTGGAAGGGTGATATGCTGTCAGCGCTGTGAGAAGAGGTGAGAGGAGAGCTGAACACAAACTTAGCCTTTGGTGGATAATAAAGATTTATTTTCTGAATGTCTACTTGTCTCCCAGCTGTAGGTAGGTCAACATCGCTCTCTGGTTTAGACCATTCATGGCCTCTCTCTTTTAATCTTTAGAAAGAGTTTAATATTTATTTTGTCCTGCTCATGGTAAAGATGTTAGACTAGAATCAGGTTAATATTATGGGCTGTAGTTATGATTGATACCAAAGCCATACAGGAGAATTGATCTTTTGCCAAAACACACTTTACAATGTAATCACTGATTTGATGTTTGATGACTATTTAATAATTAAAGTCTGACCTCTGACAGCCAGCCGACTCTCTGCTGATTCTCCGGCTCCAGAGATTATGCACTTGTACCATCCTTCATCAGACTTAGAGGCGTTGGTAATAATCATCTTCCCTTTATATTCAGTCTTTGTGAAATGTCCGTCTCTATAGAAATCAGCCGTTAAGTTGTGGGGTGGTTTTTTCTTTCTACAGTGCAGAGTGATGTTCTGTCGCTCCATCACAGGGAGAGCCGGACTGTCCAGGATCACTTTATCATCTGAACAACAGGACAAACAGAACATTTAGATTAAACCACCATGCTGCGCTCAGCAGGTGACCTGGTCACTTCTCTGAGAGATGACAGCTGAAGCTTTTTGTAAAAGACCATTAAATGCATCAACTTGAAACATCAACAGTGTACATTAAAAACTAATGTTTATTACAACCCTACTTTCGTAAAAGTTTTCTACTTCATTCATTCTTTTTTAAATAAGAAATTCTTCTTAAGTCTCATGTTTATAAAACTTACCATTTACAACAATGATGTTGAGTGAGCTGCTTCTCTGTCCGTCTGTGTTTTCACACCAGTATTCTCCACTATGTTTTGCAAAGGCAGCATTAATGTTCAATAATCTCTTTGAATCCTCCCATCGAGGAGTCTTTGATGAACTCGCCTGTATCACTCTCCATTCAGCTGAGCTGTCAAACCCCTCACAGTTTAATCGTATGGATTCATATTCAAAGAACTGCAGTCTGTTTGGGTCAATGTGAAGAAAGGCAGCTTCTGTGGAAAGGAACAATAATCTTGATTATAATTCAGTCAGGACCACTTTGTCCAAAAAAAAAAAACCTTTATTTACAGATATGTATATTTGGCAGTAGGGTGGAGTTAGGGCTTTGTTCTGAGAGAGATCAACAACAATAAAAACATATTCCGTTAATCACGATATTCTTCTTTCTAAATTATGGGCTTACGTTATCAGAGGTATTATCTTTAATTGGTTACAAAGCTACCTAAGTAATAGGAAGCAATATATAATCGTGATTATAAATCACACCTACGGGGCATATAAATTGGAGTTCCACAAGGATCAATATTAGGACTCAAACTTTTTTTTTTTGTTCATGAATGAAATTACCAATACATCAATCAGCTTCTGTTTTCTGCTCGGTGATGATTTCAACATGATTTACTTATTGCCAATTACTATGTGTGATAACAGATCAAACTCTTAGAATTATTTAGTTATATCCAATCTCAAAAAAACATTTCTATATTACATGAAGTTAAATACCTGCTGGATTATAACACACTTAAAGTGTTGTTTTCATGAATCTAGTCAAACCTAAAAGATTGATCAGGATCTGAAGAGTCCAAGAGAACAAACTCACTAATGGTAGATGAATCATTAAAGTAGTTACACTTTAAAAATCTAGTTTATTCATGTTTTAAGTGTGGTTCATTACCTTTTCATTTACAAAGTTGTTTATCATTAGCGATAACTCAGGAGAAAATGTAATTTCAAGTTAAATTCTTTCAGAACATTCAAAGATGTGTTTCAGTTTACAGAGTAAAATGAATTGTATAGAGAGAGCCTCACACATTACTGTGGAAACATTAAACACGTCAAATCTGTTTATGTGAAGGACAGATTTCTCCGTATGAATCAGAAGAAGGACAATCCAGTGGATTGGATTAAAATGTTTAACTATGATATAAAGTTTATTTCTCTTTTCTCTGTTCAGCCTGTGGACTGGAGTATAAGCAGGATGTCTGATGGCTTTTATAAACATGTGGTTTATTGTATGAATGTATTTAAGTACATATACAGTATATAGTCACTAACATCTCCATAAACAGTCCATCATGTTCTCCCTCTCTCTGCTCTCTAACTCTTAAAGCATAAAGCTCTGATGATAGTCACAAAGTGTTGGTGCAGTTTGTTCTTGTTTAGTGTGTGAATGTGAAGAGAAGCTACCTGCTATGTCCAAAGTCAAAGTCATATTTACTGAGCTTTTATTTTGAAGGCACACAGAGGTGGAATTGTTTTCCTGATCACTGGAAGGTTTGAGCACCACATCTCTCTCCACTGCACTATTGTGATATTTAGCCTTGATATTTAAAGTTATACAGAGCAGACTTCACCAAAGACAAATTCCTTGTGTGCGTAAGCAAACATGGCTTTGAATACATGAAGAAACATTGTGCTATATCAACAACCTTCAACTCACCAGCAGTCTGAGCTGAGGACCTGGTCGGAGCAATCAGCAGCAACATGTTCACCACTGGGGAACAAAAAACACAATCTGCATATCAGCGACACACGTCTCCATGTGAACACATACTGTGTGCATACTATACATGATACTGCTGCAGAGCATAATGAAGTCCTTTAAGTAAGTACAGTTTAAATACTTTAATACTAAATGTAAAGTAAGTACAGTTTAAATACTTTAATACTATATTGAAAGTAAGTACAGTTTAAATCTAGTAAGTATTTAGTTAGAAAGGTAACCACATCTAAAAGTCGTGCCTTGTTTCACTCGTTAAGTCAGAGTCTAACGTGGAGTAATACAAAGAACACAAAATAACTTTGACTCTACAGAAGACAAAGCCACTAAAACATGTTAGATTAATTTTAATTATTCATACGATGATTACAACAATGATTTTTCATTTTAAGTGCATTTTAAATCTCTCTGTTTGTTACTTGATAGTAAAACCTGAGAGTAGACTCACACAGGAGAAGAGATGTGACCTCCATGGTGTCCTGATGCTGACTGTCTGTCAGAGACCGAATGAAAACCAAATATGATGAAGTGCTTCCTGTTCCTGTACAAAAACAAGGTGGTTGCAGTTTTTAGCATGACGGCCTTCACACATTTCTCTCACCAACATAAATACCTGAATTTATGTGATGGACCATCAGGTCACATTTAGTCACATTCAAGACAGAAAACCTGAACACGTATTAAGAGTGTATACATAAACTTTACAAGTCACAGGGTTGTGACCTTTGTACCATTGTCTCCATGGAGACCTTTGTAGATTCAACGAGGACTCTGACCTGTAATATCACAGTTATCAGGGGTCCAGGTCCTAAAGAAGCAGGGGCCTCATGTATAAAAGACTCATAACATTGGGTAATGTGCATCGTTTCACATTCTGTGCATCCTAACGGTGCTGTATAGCTGCGTTTATACATGAAGCCCCAGGTCTTAGTCAGAGGCTTGATTAATAACTAGTTACATGTAGTTATAAGGACTTGATTATGTGCAGGGGAAGTACAGCAAAAGACAGACATGAGTTGCATGATGGGAAGTATAGTATTAGTTGTCTTGGGGTTCCCTGAGGCTAAAGTCAAGACACCTGAAGCTGTGCTGCATTAACAGAAGTAGCTCTACTCTGCCCCCTGCTGTCAGAGTCAGTCTCCTTTTTTTCATCCAAACTTTTCACTCTTTTATTTTGGCTGCACACCAAGAAAAAACATCTACAGTATAACTGTCCATGTTTGATCCTTAAAAAAAGCACAGAAAAGTGTGTGTAATTCACCAACCCCCTTTGCTCCAAGTGCAAAGTATAAAGCTCAGTGTAATATAAACTGGACAGATATTTTTGTATGTCCTGGCCTTGAGAATATCAAACTACATGACCCAACAAAAACGCCAGTATATGTACATGTACATGGGATTTATGTCCATTTCTCTATAAAAACCCAAAGAGCAGAACAAATGTCAAACAAAGATGTGTTTCAGTATGCCGAGTAAATCTGATTCAGATATGAATAAGTTTAATTTATAGACAAAAGATTTCTTTTAAAATTATCGAATGTAAAAGTGAAGTTTGATCATGTATTAGAGGGGTCTATATAAAATCCATATATATTTATGTCTGTTACTTTCTGTTTACACTTAAAGGAAGCTGACAGAACATGTGCGTGGACAAGTGAAGTTTCAGAGCTGCACATTCTCAGTCCTTTTTTGTATCTTATTGTTGATGTTTAGATTTTAACACTAGAAAAGAGTTTCCATAAGTTAGAAGATGACCAAAATAAAGTAATGCAAACTCACATGGGGTTTGGCACCTCTGTCAATCAAATAATAATAAATAATGAAGTTTTACTCTTTGTGGTGAGTAAATAATGGGCTTTTCTTCTTCAGTGTTACAGAATTCATCCTCCAACAGAAGACAAAACAACAACCTGCAAGACATGAAGGCCAAACTTGAAGAAGAATCCCAGAAGACAAATAAAAAAGCTTGAGACTTTGACACACAGAATCAGCATGTCTGTAACTCTGAGAGGGATTCTGCTCAATGTTCAAAATGCAGCTGGCTGATGTGGAGCAACAGAGGGACGACAATGAGGAAGACCTGCAGTCAGTGGAGAAGTTAATAAGAGAGAGTGAAAGAGGAAAGAAGACCGACAGAAAAAACACCTGAGACCAAGATGAAAGCTTTAAACTAGAGGAAGAACTGGAGAAACCGGTGCTGAACACAGAGATCCAAATATCAAGTCTCCTCACCACAATGAAAGACAGACAGATTTCTTTAGAGAATGAAAGAATCTGCATCACCAGCTGCTGCAGAGACAGCAGGGGGAGCCCACGAGTCAGAGTAGAAATACTATGTTATGTGGTGTGGAAGTACAGCTGTACAATCTCATGCTTTAGCAGACTGCCTTAACAAAAAACTACTTTTGGTTTTACACTTGAAGTTCTAAAACTTTACTGCAGAAAACTTGAAGAAAGAAATCAGTCTCGTCTGTTGATCCAGCACGTTAACACAGATTGTATGGAGCGTGTTTCAGTGACAGGCATGTCAAATAATACAGTAAATTGTGGCGCCCGTATTAATATCAGGCATGTTCATGGACATTAGGCACCCCCCCAGTCTCATTGTTTTTGATATTGTATTTTATTATCTTGTTCAGTCATACTGTTAGATATTTCTGTACAAAGGCACCGTGATATTTTAGTTCACGGGTCAAATTGAAGAAGTATCACACAGGCACTTTTGGGGCAGCTCTGGGCAGCACAGGGGGTCTTTGACGCCATGCGTAGCTCAGTCGACCCAGATGTCCGAGAGTGTGCAGCCACGCTGAGTTAAAGTGTTTGTGTCTCTGTGTTTCAGGTGAGCAAAAGTGATAAAAGTGACAGTAGGAAATCCACAGTTAGCCTTCTTTAATATTTACTGTGTGTGTGTGTGCACAGAATATTTGTATAAGTGTGTGAGAGAGTCATAAGCATCATCTTTGATTAGCAGGTCTTTGATGCCATGCGTAGCTCAGTCGACCCAGATGTCCGAGAGTGTGCAGCCACGCTGAGTTGAAGTGTTTGTGTCTCTGTGTTTCAGACCGAAGTAAAAGATAAAACCCATGCATGCTTGGTTCTTTGTGTACAAGTGTGCAACAAATATTGGAGGCACCGCTGGGATGATTAGCGTCGTGTACAGTGTGACAAGAACGCGCACGGAGAACTTTGAGTGATGACGACGGGAGCATGCAGCCTCAGGGGCAGTCGCAGCCGCAGCGGACATTCAGGAGCTTGAGGAGTTATCACAAACAGTGTCACAGAGACTATGGCTGCTACAGATGGATAAGCTCACAGAGGTGTGTGTTTTCGCCAAGATCTCAAGTGAAGGTATCACAACTAGACGAGCGTTAATCAGATTAATCACCGAATCCATGGACAGTGTTATTGATAAAGAAGAAGATATTGCAATGTATTTTCTAAAGACACTATTTAACATAGTGGAGCATAATAAAGAAAACGTTTTAAATACTGAAAGTGAAGAAAATACAGAGAACACAGCACAAGACATTCAGGAAATCATGAAAGAAGTGAGTTTAGAAGAAAAGTATTCACAGCTACAGAAAAACAGTCTTGCTCTGCAGGATGAAGTGAGAAAGCTGAGTGAAAAAGTGAACAGTACATCTCAAAGTCTATCTTCAGACCCACTAAGTGTGCAACCTGCAACTGTGAACAGACTTCCTGAAGTGACAATAAGAAGAGAATTCAAGATTTGTGGCCAGATCGGGGAAAAGGGACAGAAAGACAGACTCTCATTCACAAACCTGATGCATCAAATTGACAGAGGCCTGAGTAAGGGACACAGCGAGGCTGAAGTGATGGAGGCAGTAAACAAGTCGATTAAGCCCAGGTTTGAGGATTCGAGACATGTTATAGATTAAAAGTGACCTTACCCTTTCCCAGTTAAAATCTATATTAAAAGGACATTTTAAAGAGGACAGTTCAACAGACTTGTATCACAGACTAGTGAACATGACACAAGACAGTCGTGAGTCACCTCAAAACTTTCTCTTTAGAGCCATTGAGTTAAAAGAGAGACTGTTACTTGCTTAAAGAGAAGTGGAATCAGAGGAACAGTATAGTCCTGAGCTCATACAGAAGAAGTTCTTAAGATCTGTCAGTACTGGACTGTTAAGTGACCATATTAAGTTTCAGCTTAAGCCGTTTCTTGATGACCAGGGAGTGACAGATGACGTACTTATTGACAAAATGAATGAAGCAGCTAGTGTTGAGTCAGAAAGACAGTCTAAGCAAAGAAAGAACACAAGCAGCAAAGGTCCAAAAGTAAATGAGCTACAGACAGAAATGAAAAACAATCAGCAGGGTCAGGGTTTAGACAAATCCAGCATAGGGGTTCAAGAGCAGTCAGCTGAGGTGATGAAGCCTAAAAGTCGCAAAGCACCTGTTGTCACTAGCTCGAGAGATTCTGAGCTTTATGAAACAGTTAAGTTGCTTAGAGAAGAGATGGCTGAAATTAGAAAAAGCATAGCTAACCCTCAAGGGCCCACCCGCCAAAATAAAACAAGTTTTAAGAGAGGATGTAAAGTGTGTAGGGAGCAAGAAATAGGTGACCAGTGTGAACACTGTTTCAAGTGTGGACAGTCAGGACACTTTTCCAGAGGCTGTAGAGGACAAAGGAGACTGGTATGAGACTCTTGTTGGTAAAGCTGCAAATCAGACACCCATACCATTTGCAGGTTGGGTTGAACTGAAGTTTAAATTGAAATCAAACAAAGGCCCGCAGCCAGAACTACTTGTGCCCATTCTTGTCTCTGATGAGCCAGGAGTAGCAGAACCACCAATCATCGGCTACAATGTTATCGAGCACGTGGTAATGAATGGAATGGTGCAGCACCCTGAAGTTACAACTGCTGTGGTAGGAGAAGCTTTCTCTATTGACTGTAAAAAAGCAAATGTGTTGATTCAGCTGGTGCAGAGCCGTGACCAGAGTGGCAGAGAAGGTGTGGTGAAAGTTGGAGGAATAAAGACAGTGATTCCAGCAGGACAGACAAGAGAGGTCCCCTTTCCACAAAACAGGAAGTCCTTTTTGAACCAGAGGAGATCCCAAAGTGGCCAGATGGGCTGACAATTACAGAGACCGTTATCTGTCTGCAGAAAGGAAACTGGTCCAAGGTAACTATTCCTGTTACTAACGATAGCAACTATGACATTACCCTCATCCCTTGCACTGTACTAGGTCAGCTACAGCAGATCAAGTCTATTTACCCAGTAGATGTTAGACCAGCCAGCATTCCTGAGAACACAGCTGTAACACAGAGTACAAGCAAACAGACAGACAGCAAAACTAGTTCTCCGGACGGTCACAAAGAAGATCACAGACAACAAACCTCATCTAAACACGAGTTATGGGATCCTCCAGTTTCAGTTGATCACCTGACACCTGACCAACAACAGAAAGTGAAACAAATGCTACGAGAAGAATGTAATGCATTTTCAAAAGATGAGAACGATGTGGGATGCATTCCATCTCTGCAGTTAAAAATCAGACTGAGTGACATGACTCCAGTAAGGCGCACCTACATCTCAGTTCCAAAACCGCTGCACAAGGAGGTGAAGGAGTATTTGGAGGACCTAAAGGATGGATTACAAAATCTAGGTCTCCATAC